TATTGTTTTTGAAACATATGGTCGAACGTTATCATGAAGCAGTAATAACTCCACGTCTATTGAGCTGGCATTATTAATTATTCGTTCTTGAAACCTGTACGGCGATTCTGTGACTTGCTATCGATGGTTTTCGGTATCGTTAACCAACCTATGAAAGCTGTGTTTTTAACATCTTTGCTGTCGCTAGTTAATTTCGATACCGAAAAACATCGATAGCAAGTTACAGAAACCCGGTACTGGTAAAATCATTAATGCCGGAAAATACTGTTCTCAGATGAAGGAAATGAACAGCAATTACGCTTTAAGCAACCTGCAATATGCATATTGCTTTATGGTAATGCTCGACCACAGTAAAGGACGAGGGGTGAGGGGCAAGGGGCGAGAGCCGAGCGTCGAGCGGCGGACGACGCGCGGCGTGGGGCGAGCGGTGAGGGGCGAGCGGGGAGGGTTTACTGAAGCTCGCCGCTCGCTGCGTGACAACTTTTTTTCGGCGCGTCGCTCCACCTCTCGCTATTAGATGATGCCCCACCGTTGCCTGCCGAGTCCGGCCTGCCGCCGTCTACGTTTTCATTCGCTCAGACATTAAAATTTCTTTCTCGATAACTATTGCGAATTTTGCAAAATGGTATAAGACTTTTCTATTCAGTTTGCCCCGGTCTATCTGCCAGTTACAGGTGATACGGGTATTTGGACACACCCTGTATAATCCGTCCGGAAGCCTGCTGCACCACAGTAGGAGATTTTATACGAGATCGAGAAGAAAACATTGTAGACAGTATAAAGTCTGAAAAGACGCTAGCGCGACAACATGGAGCAACGAGAGCAAGATCTGGTGGAACGAGCCCACAGGATCACCACATTGGGTGATTATTTGGGGTGGCTGCAACAATGCTACGAGTGTATCGCTGAGCTAGAGGAACACAGCCGTGTTAAGCGTCCAAGGCTATCCATCGGTAACGGACAATCGCTGGTGGTTCGAATCGCGCGACTCGAGAGTGTCAAGTGCCAAGTTGAAAGGCGATTCGTACATTTCGGGGGTGGCGGTGCAGGGCCTTCTTCGAAAGCGCAACTGTCGTGGCGCGAGATCGACACCGCATTCAAAAACCGCGTGCTTACCGGTGCGGTAATAAACGCGGAGTACATTGACCCGCCCAAATTTCTCGAGGACGCTCGCGATATCGTGATCGAGCACGTGCGAGACGCTATCAAGCGCTATAATTGTGTAAAGGTGAATACCGCGTTCAACGGGGAGTTTGTGGCGGGTGATATACGTGCAAATAAAAGCATAAACACAAAAAACTGTGAACTGTTTATTACAACGGACCTACAACAGTGGTACGAGTCGCGCGTAATCGGTCCGACTCTAGCTGAACTCGAAGAGTTTCAGGAGCGTGATAGCGGGTGGGCGCTGTCGCGTATACTCAACTTGACTATTAACGTGAACAAATGCAATCCTATGCGCGCGGGATGCCATATAGACGTGCCAGAAGTGGTGAAACGAAAGAAAGCAGTGATCAACGTACAATCCATGGATAATGCGTGTTTCGCGTGGTCGGTGGTCGCCGCTCTCTATCCGGCTGAAAGAAACGTGGAGCGCGAATCGTCGTATCCACATTACAGTGATGTGTTAAACCTGCGAGACGTTCCAATGCCGATGACATTAAGTGGTATTAAAAAGTTCGAACAATTGAACAGTATTTCCATCAATGTGTACAGCATCGATGAAAAGAACAATTGTGAACGCGCAATCGTACCGCTACGAGTTGCTGACGAAAAGAAGGAGAAGCACGTGAACCTATTATACCTGCAAGATCAGAGGGGTGCCGAAGTGGGCCACTTCGTCTGGATAAAGAAATTATCCCGCCTCGTCAGTTCTCAACTCAGCAAGAAGGAGTACAAAAAGCACATTTGCGATCGGTGAGTATCGATAGGATTTGTGAAACTTATTTTATTTGAAAAATATATATTTAAAAATTTTTGTCTTTCCATATGTTTGCACTACTTTAGCTCCAACGTCAAGTTGCAAGCCCACAGCGTGGACTGTCAACAGATAAATGACTGCGCGATCATATTACCCAGCGAGGAGGACAAGTGGCTCAGTTTTAACAATCACAGTAGGAAGGAACGTGTGCCGTTTGTCGTCTACGCCGACTTGGAGTGTATCCTGAAAAAGATGGATACGGATCCGAAGGCATATCAGCACCATGAAGTATTTAGCATCGCTTATTACCTGCACTGCTCATATGACGACTCGCTATCAACATATCAGTTTCATCGTGACAAGGATTGCATCGCATGGTTCGCTGACCAACTAGAAGAATTAGCATATCGTGTAAAGAATATTCTGTCGAGTAATGTTTCCATGCAAACACTTTCGAAAGAACAGTATGAGAAATTTAATAGCACCACGCACTGTCACATATGCGAGAAACCGTTCGCGCCAGACGACACTCGGGTGCGCGACCATTGCCATCTAACCGGACAATATAGAGGCCCCGCACATTCAAACT